GATGTATATATTTCCCATGAAATATTATTGATAATATAATTTTCCTTCCTTATTATGGTATCAATCAACTTTATTTCTTAAACTCCAACCTTTAATTTCTTTATTTTTGGTTTTCTTCTCACCAACAACCCCTTATCCTTGTTACACACCCACCAATAGCCTCTATTTATTCCAATTAATCTTCTTTATGGTTGCAACACTACTCCTTCCAAATAAAATTTTCGGTATAACCAATATTCTCCTCAAACCACTACTTTAAACCATTGATTTTCTGAAAGGTTTCGTTAAACCGATTCTTCATTTGCTCACAAACGAGTTGGTTATTGGGAATATCCTTATTGAAGAGGAGATTGTAGATTTCTTTTGTCAACCGAAGAATCTCATCAACACTTTGATTCATAGTCAGAGATCTTCGCAGGCCATTGATGGTGGTTTGTAGGGCTGCAAGGTCGGACTCATATGCGGTGTGAGTATCTTCTACCAGCTGCTTGGAATGAGTCACTTGCTTGTCAAGAGTTGAATTGAGTTCATTTTTCAGGTCAGTGACCTCTTTGATGAGTTTCTCTGTAGTATATAAGAATTGCTCATGATCTTTAGTTCTTCTCTTGTCAAGGTCTCTGATTCCTATTTCGATTCTCAAAAGGATTCGATTAGCATTCATCCTTTTTATGGTTTCCAAAGTTTCAACACGCTCAACAAGGGACTGTAGTTGAGGAACCTCTTCAGACTGCGGTGGGCGGGTTGATACTGCAACAAGAATCTGATCTAGTTTGGATTGTAGATCCAGAAACATCTTTCAAGAAACAGTGATCTTCTTCTTTTTCTTTTGCTTTGGCTTGGAGGTGGAATGTTGTGGTCCACTTGACTCATCATCATCAAAAACCATCAAAAATTCTTCAGAAGGGGGTGGTTATTGAACATCTTCCAACTCAACGTCATCAAAACCGAACACGGGAGCTGAAGTGATTTCAATTGCAGTCACATCTTCATTAGAATCATGCACTTCTTCATGTTATAGGTGCCTGGAAGGACCAACACCATCTTGCATGGCTTGGGCTTGCTGTAAAGTGGCTTCCACTTGAGTCATCCAATCCCGAATCTTCAAGATGTCATGGACTGTTTTCGTGTTGTGAATGATTCTACCCAATATTTTGCCACAAGTTGAATGGCTGCATCCTTTTGTTGTTGTTGTTGTTGCTGTTTTGCGTTTCTTGCTTTCACTGCTCCCTGAAAAGCTTCAAATTTCCTGATTCTGGACTCAGTACTTGGGCGGTACTTAGACCAGGAATCATCAGAACTGTAACCGTCAAATCCTTGTTGTACCGAGGTGTCCTTCGGTTCGATGGATCCTAGCACATTGGTTCTCCCCACGCCTAGACCACTTGTGAGAAATGTTGGTGGAATAGGGTTTCCTGAGCTTCCTCGGTCTCCTTGACCTAACGTCAAGTCTAGCCTCAGATCAGTTCAGGCTAGGGTTGAAGAAGTGCCCTGCGGTGCAACATGTGTTCGCAATGTTTGTGAGACGTGAAGAAAGATGGAGTGCAACTCCTTAGGCTCAAAGTGATGTAAACGTGATGTCGTGGAGACCTTAGGGCGACTCGAACCAACTGGATCCACTTGGGTTCCAATGGGGGGTCTGTCTTCATGAAGAGATGAAATTGATACACTATCTGTATCTCAGTGGTGAGTTGGGGTATGAGAGGGTGAGTCTGCATGGACTCCAAAGACTATCGGAGTCTTTTGAGAGACTGTGGTATGAGTCATGGTGCGCATATGCCTCTGATTAGGGTTAACTTCAGTTTCTTTCTCCTGAAGATGTCTCCAGATACCGAAGACTCATGGTGAGTATCATCAAAGACATTTACAGGGGAATCATGAGTCTTGGTGGGAGAATGAGGAACCACAACATAGGATCCTGCAATATTGGGTTTTCGTTTCTTAGGAGCACCAGCTCCTTTTGTGACAATGTTAACTAGAGCTTTCTTGGAGATTGCAAGAGACTTGACTATTTTAGGCTTGGGCTGAGTGGTTTGGTATGTGATAGTAGTCTGAGGGTCCTGTGTTGCAGTCAACTGACTGGGCCTAGGCGGGGAAGAGTGATATGGGGCAATATCACTCGTAGCTTGTATGTGGTCAGCTACCTCTACCGTAGTGAGTCCAATGGACTCAAGGATATACATTGGTAATCGTCTAATGGGTCCAAACATAGTTTAATCTTTAGAGGCTGTGTACCTTTTGAGATCACGAGTTATGAACAGGTTTGTGTTGCTACCCATATTAAGCTTGGCATCCTTGTGAAGATCAAAGATGCAGAGTGACCAAAATCGAGAAAAATTGAACTCAGTAACACCTTCTTTTGGAGCATCGTTTGGGATGTATTGCAAGAAGTCATCCCATAAGATTTGACCATAGTTGACTGCGTTGCCTGTGTAGATACTCCACACTAACTCCAAAAGCTTGACTCCCATGTTATCTATGCTACCAGTTCTTCCAGATAGACTTCTGATGATGAAATGGCATACGAACTGCCAAACAGCTGGAAGCTGGTTCTTCTTGAATTCACCTACCCCTTTCAGCTTCTTTTGGTGCCGCATTTGATCTTTAGAGGCTGTGTACCTTTTGAGCTCATGAATTACGAACAGGTCTGTGTTGCTACCCATATCGAGCTTTGCATCCTTGTGAAGATCAAAGATGCAAAGGGACCAAAATCGAGAAAAAGTGAGCTCAGTAACACCTTCTTTTGGAGCATCTTTAGGGATGTATTGGAAGAAGTAATCCCACAAGATTTGACCATAGTTGACTGCGTTGTCTTTGTAGATACTCCAAACTATCTCCAAAAGCTTGACTCCCATGTTATCTGTGCCACCAGCCCTTCCAAAGAGACTTCTGATGAGGAAATGGCACACTAACTGCCAAACAGCTGGAAGTTGGTTCTTCTTGAATTCACCTACCCCTTTCAGCTTCTTCTGGTACCCCATTCGATAGAGGGTAGTGAAAATATCGTTTGTGCTAGCGCAAATCACTACTAGAAAAACAGCCTTTTACGACGCGCAATGCATGTCGTAAAACGCTCAGACGACGCGCAAATGCGTGTCAAGGAAGGCCCTGCCATAACGAGAGACGACACGCTTTTGCGCATCGTCTATTTACGAAGCGCGTTTACGACGCGCATTTATGACACGCATTTACGACGCGCAGTTATGACACGCAATGCGTATCAAGGAAGGCCCTGTCATAAAGGAAGACGACACGCATTTGTGTGTCGTAACCTTACGACGCGCATGTTTATGACACACAAAGCGTATCAAGGAAGCCCCTGTCAAGAAAGGTCATGTCATAAATGAAGATGACACACATTTTTGCGTATCGTAATTTTAAATGTTTAAAAAAAATATTATTTATAGATTTACTAATTTTCAAATTAAATTTGCATTTAATGTCTCGTAACAAAAAATAAAATACCATATACAAAAAATACAATCCATTGCATAAAATTTAATGTCATACAAATAATCGATGCATGGAAAGATAAACAAATCAATAGAAGTTGTTTTCTCCCTATACATGATTATCACACACTAAATAACAAACTTTATTTCATATGCATACATATGATTACATTATTCATTAAAAAAACATATACCTACATCTTCGCCTAAAATGTTATTACATGATGCAAGTTGGCCACATCATTGATGTATCACCAAGAGGAAGACCAACAACTGCCCTAAAATGTTCCATGATGTGCCTATACTCATGTCCTGTAACTTTAAACATTTAATAAAGTAAAATACCTCCTAAAAATAAAATTGCACAAGAAACAACACATCATAATGAGAAATTACTAACATGAATGGAAGAAGTACACTATAAATTTGTTTTACCAAGAGTGGGGCATGGACGATCAGGTGCTACAAGTTTGTCCAAGCTGCCAAACAAAGACTGCATGCAAACCAAAACATACATACACTATAAATTTAATTACCATACAAATTATATTCATACATACGAGTTTGTTTTACCCTTTTTGCCTCATATCTTTATTTTTTTTATTCTTATTAGCCATGGAGTGTTGGTGTTTTCTTTTCTCTCATTCAATCAACCCTTAACCCTTTTTTTAATTATGATGAGAGGTTTCTCTGGAAAATTGAAATCTTAAACGACCAGCGATTCTAATCCCATGCAGAATGCGAGCTGAGTCAAATAAATGCAAATAATTATGAGAATCAATCTATTACTATCCAAGCTTTCATAAAACAAAAACCATAACAAAACAATATCAGTAAATACATACCTTGCGAAGCTATATCAGTGTACTTGTCACTAAAGGCATACACATTGACTGCAACTTGATACATTGTAAATTTAGGGATTGGTTTTTTTGCAGCAATAAAGGAACTTCACCTCTGCTTCTCCAACAAAAAAACCAAATATTAAGGTAATTGTGTTATTTAAATAGTTTTTTGTTTATTGTAAATAAGTAAATATAAATAATTTATATATGTGGTTCAGGTTCTAGTGGTGATGTTTGGGGGGTCTGGAAACTATGTAGCTGCAAAGGCAAAACATTAGAAAAAGTTGAAGCAGAGCTTCTTAGAAATCTCCAAATTTTTCACAGTTCATGAAGGATTTGGCAGTGCCTGCAGATAGCTCAGAGGCAAAAAGGTAATATGACATGGAAAAATGTAGAATGCTTCTTTTGCAGTGTGACATAGCTCAGGGGAAAAAAGGTAATTTGACAGAGAAACATGATTATCTTACCATGTATGAGCAGAAGGCAAACGATCAGAGCTTCCATAAACTTTGTGAATCTGATTGGTGGTGCTAGTCTTTTGAGTAGCTTGAAATCCATTCCCAAATCCAGGCGTCACCTCCCTTTCAGACAGCCAATAAACATGTTCGTATCAGAAACAACTAACAAACCATGTTAATTCTTCAAGAAAATTTAAAGAAATACACAATGGGGGTTACTCATCTTACTAAATGTAGCTATTTGGAATTCAGACAGCCATGCAAGCTCTCTTACAATGGGGGTTACTCATTTCTAGAAAGAGACCTTCAAGATTCCTCCTTGTCCTACACATAAAGGAAATGTAAGAAAAAAATTAAGTCTCACAAAGTATATGGACAATTTTATTCAAAATTCTATTGAAACAGATAGAAACTTGGGAGTATTTATATTAGGTCATATCCTAAGAAGGCCCATAAACAAGTGATATGCTTAAACAATGCTTAATTGTTTTCCAGAGTGTGGTAGTTTGTTATTAACATGAAAGGCCCATAAACATCTATTATACATCATCCTACTTTCCTTTCATCTTATTACAACATTCTACTTTCAGAAATCTACCCAGTTTTAGCAAATGTATTACAAATACAAAGTGACTTCACTGCTTAATTAGGTAAAAAATTTAGAGTATAATGTCCTAATAAGCAAAACAATTATAAGTAGAATATCAGACATGTTATATTCTTTAAGAAAATCCATGACATCAGGAGACAAGGGTGATGGCCAAGTTTGTATGTTTAAATTTATCATAAAAAAAGGTTTATTTGAAAAGAGTAAATTATCACCTGTATTGCATGGCCAGTATTTCGGACAACCACCATTTAAAACTTTCCCTGCATTTGTCCTATCGTGAGAGCCCTGGTACAGAAAAATTACCATATTACCCTTCCACCAAGAAATAATATTGACTTTTTATTTAACAATTATTATATATTATATTGTGAGGGCCCTGGTGCAGTCATATTCTTAATTAAATTTTAAACATCATTTATCCAAACAACACTGAATCGGAAGAAAAAGAAAGAACCTATCAAGTCTATCTGTTCCAGCCAACAACAACAACTTTGGGACAGGAGATGACAGAAATTTTTCCGAGAGGTCATCATACCTGAATTTTTTTTATTTACAACAATAGAAAGTTATACATAATAAAAAAAATTCCTTCAATGACTACAAATATTAAAGAGTTAATGTTTACCATCCTCTCCAATATTGTTCTGTTTCCTCCAATCGTGCTCTGTGTCGATAGATGTACATACAACAGCAAGATCAGTCAATTTGCACAAAAGGAATTCAATATATTTGTAAAAAATATTTACAAGGGAGTTGAATTACTAATCTGTTAACTTTTGTTTCTAAATTCCAACAAATAATTTACAAGAATCAAGATATGTTGTATAAAAATTAGGAATGACAAAAGAAAAAAGAAATTAGTTTTTAAAAAATAAAAAACCTAAAAACTTACCACTGCTGTTAGTCATCATACTTTACAGTCCCGGGAATCAATATTCGAGCAGAATCGATGTTTCTTAAAGAGCCTGATCTCACATTCCACTCAATCTGTAAGTATTTACAAATTAAAAATTCAAATTTTATAAAAAAAAATTAGCAGTTTTGTACATTCTTATAGATATATGAATTAAGTGAAGTCAAAAGGCTGATTTTACAGCTTTCTCAAGAGTTGGAAAATGTTGCACTCTGTATGATAGAATTTTCTGCATATGCATCAATGAAGCCATAGCTGTCCCCTGAAATTGTAATTTTGAATTTTAATATATTTAAAAAAGTTGAAAACAAAAAGTTTATAGTAAAATACACTTGATAGGAGTGAAACTACCTTTTTCTTTTTCATCATAATCTTGGCAGCAGCCTGAAAGAAATATCTACATATAGCTTCCATGATTAAGTGCATGCTTCATTTTGACTTGAGATTCCCATTGAATCCACGAGCCAAACACGCCCTAAACTACTAATAGACTTGTGTTGCTATATACTATAACTGTAACTCATTTTATTTATGTGATTCTAGGACAGGAAATATAGGATTAAATAACCAAATCTATAGCACCTATGATTCGTTCACATATATAAAAAGAAATTGTTAAAGAAAATAATGGAATGGGGAAAGAAAAAAGAGGAAAACAAATCTTTCATGGTCCTGACAACATGGAAAATCAGTAACAAAATGCACAGGAAAGTCAAGGAAAAACTTAGATAAAGAAAGATGAAGTGGCACGTGAGCTATTGGTGGTATTAGACCTGAAATGTAATAATAATTATTATATGTATATATAACACATGGCAATATAATATCCTGCAAAAAAACGGCTCTTGTAGACAAGTGAACGGATATCCAAAAGCAAAGCCTTTGTAAAGCAAATCCCACTACTCCCATAACATCATTTCTGCAACAAAACAGATATGAATAAGATGATGCTACTGGAAAGTTGGAGGATAATGAAAATCATAACATGACATCATCATCACCCTGCCAAAAGGCCCACCAACTTCAAAGTTCAAACCCCAATGTTGCAATTTCAATCCTGTATACAGATTTGTAAAAGCCTAAACCCGAGTCCATGAGTCTGGCTTAGAACCCAGAATGACCATATGAGGATTAATCTACCACATCTGCGAGTTCCCAGAATCTAGGGTTTAATATTCTATTCTCAAAACATATGTTCAATATTATCAATACAAGCAGAAAGTAAAGAGACCACAAGAACATAGAAAAATACCTGCTTTTTTTTGAAAGAGCAAAGGACCGAGAATTTTGAGGAATTGTAAGTCTCGGGACGGAATCGATCAAGAACGTCTTTGAATTTCGACACATAAATGTACCTATACAAAATTATGAAAGGTAAGGATGATGACGATGCGCTGGCTGTGAGCATACACGAGCAATAGAAACGGGCAAATGAAGGCTGAGAAATTAGGTCTAGCCAGTGTTTGAAAACACATTTGAACCTAAAAATTGATTTCAGGGGCAATCTTGTGAGGATTTCGAGAAGGAGAGACTCAGTGAGGTTTTGAATATCATATGAGAACGTATGAGCAAGGAGAACAAGCCCTAGAACTGATGATTCGGAAAGAGGGTTTAGTTGTGTTGAATCGATTGGTGTGATTACTTGTGTTGAATCGATTGGAAATGAGTTCTGATCACCATCATCATCGATGTGATTGTCGATTTGATTGATTGAATTGTTGGGTTCCATTTAGCGGTGGTTTGAGGTTGGAAATGGAAATGGAAAGAGCGCCACCAAGGAGATTGGGGAGCGGAAGAAGAGAGAATCAGAGAAGTTCGAAGTGTGGATTGAGTTTTTAGGGTTCAATTTCAACTCAATTAGTAAAGAGTCCAAAACAATTACACCTCCCTGTACCTCACTCGATAATCGAAACCATAGAAATTCTTGAGTTTTGTATGAACTTTTCTCACGAATGATGTTCTCGTCGTCGGCTCCAAAGCGCCATAATTATGTCGAGATCCAGAATCGTATACGTTTGCTGTTTACAAATCTGTTGTTGAACCCTGAAGAGTCAACCTAGGTATTCCCACTGCTGAAGACGAAGATGAAGGCCCTAGGGCTTTTTCTTGCTAAGTAAAAGAGGCTGGGGGATTAATTTTTGGGATCCAATAGGCGGGGGTAATTTTCGTCGACTTCATTTCTCGCCTAAAACGCGTGTTTCACTTAAAAATTATAAAGCGACACATTTACATGACGCACATTTTATGAAAGGCGCCCTCCGCATTTTTTTTCTTTTCTGACACTAGTTTTAGGGCGTGCACAAATGCGTGTCCTCTATCCTTCAAATTTTGCAAAATTGACATTATTTTCTAGGGCACTCACAAATACGCGTCCTCTATCAGCGAGTGTCATTGTTTGCGCGTCATTAAAGGGCTGTTTTCTAGTAGTGAATAGAACTTTGTTGTTGGGAGAACCCTGAGTTTGATTGCCGCCAAGAACTTCTCCTTTGTCAAGACCACCAGATAATCATTCACCAAGTTCAGATGAACTTCTTGCAGATTGTTGCTAGGGAGAAAAGCGGAGAAGGAACATTTGAATAAGACCGCCATTGGAATTGCCTCCGTGAAGAAATCAAAAGCGCCAAACAGTGAATCCTTTAATCCATCCATTCGAACTTTCCATAGGACCTTCCTACTATAAAATCATTCTGAAACTCGATTCTTTATAGACATGGATGTCTAATGCATGTCTTGATCTCGTCTTTGATCAAAATGATGAAGAAATGGAACCACAATCACATGAATGTCTTCACAACTTAGCCCAACCTTAGATCCATCATATATAACACTCAAGGGACCTCAAGGATCCATAAAGTTGCCAATTTTATGGAATCCTTCCATCCAAAATTCCACAACATTAAGAGAAAGGGACAAGAAGCCTATATTTAGAAGCTAACAACAAAAGGTTTGGATCTTGAACACTTACAATAGTCTAGAAATGGCTCAAATACAAACTTCAAGCTTTGCCAAGAGGTTCTCTACAACATAAGGACCTTCTTCCTTCCAAGAGCACCAAAACACCAAGGATAAGCTAACAAAATAGTAGGAGGGTATTAGGGTTTGCTTCAAGGGTCTAGAGGATGATATAGACTAGAAATGATGCCTTAAATCCGAGATTGGGGGTTTAAATACGGAGGAAACACTAAAATACCATGGGCTTGGGATGTAGCTATAGTCATGACCATACTCATGTCACATAGTGACATGCTTCCGAATACACGTTCTCATTTTTGGCGTGTCGCGTCATGATCTACCTATGGTCACGTCGTGACACGTGGTTTTTTTTTTCAAAAACCAAGCCTTTGACTCTTTTATGCCCTACACCGATCCAATCTTGAAGATGGGTTTTACACTCTCCCAAAAACTAAGAACATGAAATTTTATTTGTGTTAGACTTAATCAAAAGATAAGTATATTAGTACATTTTCCCTATCTCATACGATCAAATTATATTGGCATGACCAACCATAGAAGGTCACAAATATTGAAAGAGTTTTGGATTTAATATATAGATAGTGTGTCACCATCTATGTTTATCTAACATAAACTCTTATATAGTACTCAACCTTCCACTATGGTCATAGAAATGTGTTTTTAAAGGCTTGAAGATGTTATGTATTCTTCTAGGAAAACAAAAAGTGTAACATCCAAAACCATAAGGTAAAAATTTCATTTGTAATCCAACCAAAACAGTAATTATCTTAAGTCAACATTCAATATTCCTTTTCATAATATTCAAGAGTACTTTATAATAAGAACAATTATCATAGTACAACCCCAAAATCATCATAATGCGGAAACACTGGTGGATGCGCTATGATCAGGCCAGGCCCTTCCCTTTCAAAATGGAAGTACCTGAAACCATAACCATAAAACCATAAGCATAAAGCTTAGTGAGTTCTCCAAAATACCACATACCATACATATAAACATATAATGGTCCCCCGCCCTACCTCGGGCCGCGGCTGACATCAAGCCCCGCTCGGCCTCGGGCTCGGCCCGACATCGAGCCCTGCTTTGAGTACGGATCTGTCATTCATTAGGCCCCGCAGGACATCGAGCCCCGCTCGTTACACATATCAAACTTACAAACATATAACATATAATCATACTAACACATGCTATAACCACAACCAATATCATATAATATAGTCATCGGGCCTCGCTCGGTATACATGCAACGTGCGTGTTTCAGGCTAAGCATTAATAAGATGATGTAATAGTTAGGGTCAACAATTGTAACCTATTTTGAAGTAATAAAGAGGATTTACTTGAATATTATGTGAATTTATGTGCATTAAACTTGTTTATAAAGATATAATAAGTTAAGAATAAAAATAAGTGTCAAAAATAAAACAATAGATAGACCCAATATATAAAGAAATTTGTAGTGGTCGTTACAAGGATTCCGGAGATATAAAGAACGCCGAAATCCGAGTTATAACGAAGAAGTTATGGCATGTCGAAGTTTCGCGACAAAACCGACACGACGCTGCGTGACGTAAAAAGTGAGTTTACAATAAATTACTTTTTAGCCTCAGCCAAAGTCGTAGTATACGTTAAACCAAGAGCATTCATAAAAGGAATGCCCAAATCTGACTTCGTATGAGGAAATTATGATTTTTCTAAGTTTTGGCATAGCAGTATGCATCCCGGAATTTGAATCTTAGATCGACCGATTTTTAGCCGACATAACCTAAACGAGAATCAAAAATATCTTTAATAGTAGCTCAAAGATAAAAAGACAGATGAAAATGAATGTCGGATGACAAAGTTATGGATTTTTAACGGACTTTACATGTCAGGCCTGTTAAAAATATAACTTTAAAATTAAATTCAAATTTAGCCGACGGAGTGTAAATGAAAGTTGTAGAATACGTCTCCACCTAGCATGGATATAAAGAACGTCGAAAATATAGCTCTTATGCGAAAGTTACGAAATTTAGAAGTCGGGAATGTTAAATGCGAGGATGTTCAAGGAACGCCCCGCGCAAGTATTGGGAACGCCCCGCGTTCTCGCATGCATAGCTCCGGATCAGCCATGTCGCCCCAGCAGACTTCAAACACCTGCCTCCTTCGGCCACGTTGCGTAAGCAAGAGCGCCTTGCACACGAGGAACCCGCTGCGTTCCTCCGAGGAGCGTTCTACGCAAACCGAGGGTCAGCCTCCTTATAAAAGGAGGTGCGAGGGTAGCCATTCTACTTACACCAAAAACTATTTATTTCTCATTCTAACTTCTCTCTAAGCCCTCCCAAGCCCTAGTAACTTCCCTAGTGTTAGAGGAAAGCCTTGTAGCGCCCGAAGGCTCAGAGAAAAAGAGCTTTTCGGCTCGGAAAGTTTTGCCCCCGCAGATCCCGGTTTCTAGCAAACTCTGCTGTAAGTGAGATACGCTTACCCTACTTTAAGTATAGCTTATATTTAAATTTTGTATCATTATTATGAACTTATAATAAATATACTGGGAATCTGGTTTGAAGGGCCGCCTGGGTTGTTGGATTTCAGAAGTGCTATAATGCTAAAATGGTCATGCCCTCTGGTGTTTCATGTCTGGCCCCTGTCTGTACATGGTAGTTGAGAAGTATTGTTTAATGCTTATATAAATAATAATAATACTAAGACTAATAATTAGTCACGAGAAATATTAGACTAAAATCTAGTGGTAATAATACTAGGTTTCGTCAAAGGAAATTATATTGTTAAGAAGGGAATTGTTGTCCAAGTTGGAATCACCACTTTAACAAGTGAGTGTACAGTTACTTTCATCTTACACATAGATATGAAGTATTTAATATAATTTACATGCTATGTGTGCATACTATCTGTGTTCTTGATATCTATGATGGATGAACAATTTATACATGTTTTAATTGATTTAAATTGTATATGTATTTTATATCTAAAAATATGTTGGATAAACATGGGTAGATGAAATAGATGACGTGTGATGAAATAAAATTGATGAAAGGCATCGATGTTTACGATGATCCAGTCTTCTAGCGGAGTATAGATGACGACCGCAAACTATTCTAGACAGTCTAGTGGAACGCTAGCAAGCTCGCAACCTGTAGGAGTTTATTTGAACTACGTGTTCACCAGCTGTACTCCATCCCCCTCATGGTTGCCTTATTTGACATAAATTGCAGAGGAATCCCCTGAGAAGTGTTGTCGACCCCGATGAAAATCCTTAGGCTAGGTCCCTTATAATAGATGTTATAGGGACGTAAAGTGAGGATAACGGGAACGGGTAATCGGGTTGAATGATTTGATGAAATTAATAAACTTATTTATTGTGGGTTGAAAACCCTATGTGCTCACCAGGCTGCCAAGCCTGACCCAATCATTTTCTTGTATTACAGGTAATGCCACAAGAGCATAGTTGCGATGACTTGATGAGGGATTATGGATTATAGGCCAGTAGATATAAATAAATGTTGTAAGGCCTATGTTGTTTCTGTTTATGGTTTTGATCTGTAATGACAATGACATCCCGATGTTTTTAATATAATGAAATACATTTCTTCGGAAATGCTTTGATAAACTCTTTATCATATTTTTTGAAACAAATTCTGCAACATTTTTCTTTAAAAGGATACTCTGATTTTCAAATAAAGCATAAACAAATCGGTCTTTTTTGGCCGTGAAATTGGGGATGTCACAATACATATCAACACACAACACATACACGAATCA